AATATATTTTTCTCAAATTCAACAGAGTGCAAGAGGGAAAAGAGAATTGTGTCGAACTGAGGAAATTTGTATGTCAAGAAGAGTATTCTTTAACAGCAGAGGGGAGGACAGGATGCTAGCTAAACTGGATTTAGAGATGAATTGAGAAGGTGGCGAACCTGCACGAACAGGTAATAGGATGTCAGAGGGGCGTGAGAGGCGTTGCTCTTCTTGTCGTCGGAGTAGGTCTCCAAGAGGGGGCGGTATAGAGAAGTCACCAAGAAAGGAGAGGTAGTAGCGAGGGAGCTCCCCCCGTTCATGAAATGAAACCAGCAGGCCACCACGCCTGTTGAGTTTTTTGATTTTTGTTGGGAATAAACTGATAACGGAAGCAGATTTGATTATCCGCATTCCAAATGTGGCAGTCGAGTTTACTCAACAAATTTTTTTTCCTGAAGTCCAACAATCAATGATCGGTCGGCCTGATTACGAAATTTTTTAGGAGGGTGTCCATGGAGCAGTAAAGGGACTATATACCTCTTATGAAATTGGCATGCGCCTTCATGCCATGAGAAGAGAAATAGAATAGAAAGACAGCCGCATTCGGAGCTTGGAACATTGTGTAGAAAAGGCTGAGAATGAGTTTAAAAAAGTTAAGGCTTCTGAAATGCAGTTGGCGAGTCAAACGAACCCAATCGTGACGGAAGGAGTAAACCAGCACCTTCTTGATCATGCCATTGCCGATCGTGATACGGCGAGCATGTTTGCAAGAGAAGTGATAAGAATGAAGGCCTACGAACAAAGCTTTTTTGACAGCCGAAAAATTGGTATTGAAAAGACTAGGGAAAAGTTAGTCGATGATGTTTATCGATGTGAAAATCGTGGATTTAAGCATGGATGGATTAAGGCTCTGCAGGCCGCGGGTGTCGATTCGACATCACCTGTATATTAGAATTACAAGTTTACATTTGAAGCTTACGACGCCGAAAAAATTGACAATGAAGAGGGTGCCGAATCGGAGAAGACCTAGATATCAATACACATTATTGTACTTTTGAATTTGTCAAAAGCCATGTATTTGTACTTCTTCGATGAAATAAATAAATTTTTGCTATATTGCTTTGTTTAATGTTTGTATCTACTTGTGACAATTGTATGTTGGTCCATGCCATTCTATGGCCAAACATAAAGGGCCTTCTAAATTCGGAGGATTACTGGGCCATTCATGGTCATGCACGAAGGGCGTTTCGAATTTAAAGTCTGTTTTATTGGCCAATCGTGATATCCACGAAGGGCGCTCCAAATTCGGAGGCTTATTCGGCCAATCATGACATCCACGAAGGATGCTCTGAATTCGGAGTCCTTTTTATTGGCCAATCGTGATATCCACGAAGGGTGTTCTGAATTCGGAGGCTTATACGGCCCATACATGATATCAACAAAGGGTGCTCCGAATTCGGAGTTGGCCAGTCGTGATATCAACGAAGGGCGCTCCGAATTCAGAGTCTTTTTTATTGCCCAATCGTGATATCCACAAAGGGAGCTTTGAATTCGAAGGCTTATTCGGCCAATCGTGATGTCCACGAAGGGCGCTTTGAATTCGGAGTCTTTTTTATTGGCCAATAGTGATATCCACGAAGGGCGCTCCGAATTCGGAGGCTTATTCGGCCAATCGTGATATCCCTGAAGGGTGCTCCTAATTCAGAGTCTGTTTTATTGGCCAATCATGATATCCATGAAGAGAGCTCTGAATTCGGAGGCTTATTCGGCCAATGGTGATATCCACTAAGGGCACTCCGAATTCAGAGTCTTTTTTATTAGCCAATCGTGATATCCACGAAGAGTGCTCCAAATTTAGAGGCTTATTCGGCCAATAGTCATATCCACGAAGGGCACTCTGAATTCAGAGTCTTTTGTATTGGCCAATAGTGATATCCACGAAGGGCGCTCCAAATTCGGAGGCTTATTCGGCCAATCGTGATATCCACGAAGGGCGTTCCGAATTCAAAGGCTTATTCGGCCAATCATGATATCCACGAAGGGCGCTCCGAGTTCGGAGGCTTATTCGGCTCATACGTGATATCCACGAAGGGCGCTCCGAATTCAGAGTCTTTTAAACCATTATTAATGAGACAACGATAAAAAGGACATTGCATTGAGGAATTCGTAGATGTGTACACGTTAACATAGCAGCAAAAATTAGAAACAAACTAACACGCCATACAAGTTGGCTTAATAATAAAATTTACGCAGATGTGTGGAATTCTAGGGGCATGGAAACTTCTGCCAGCCATGTCTGAAAGCCGATACGCCCTTGTTCCAGCGATTAAACTAATTTGATAAGAGCCATCCCAGTTGGGGCCTAATTTACAGTCTGCCGGATTCTTAGTAGCAGGAAGCACTTTCTTGAGGACTAATTCTCCAGGTGTATAACGACGCAATTGTACGCACTGGTTATATGACTGGGTGAGCTGCCGTTGATACCACACCATGCACGCAAGAGCACGATCTCGACGTTCATCAATCAGAGTTCAATCTAAGGCCGACATCATGTCATTACGGTCCATGTCAAAAACCTTGTATTTCAGCGTGGGTAGGCCAATCTTAAGGGGGATAATTTCCTGGGTTCCAAAGCACAAAGCGAACGGTGTTTTCCCAGTAGATCGCCTTGAAGTAGTACGATGAGCCCACAACACATTAGGCAATTCTTCGACCCACTTGCTTCTGACTTTTTCCAACCGTTTCTTGATGCTGTCCAGGATCACTTTATTAGAAGCCTTCGCCTGACCGTTGCTTTGTGGGTATTTCGGCGAGGAAAAGTAGGGACAAATACCATATGTGTTGCATAACTCCCAATAGATGCCACAATTGAATTGGGTGCCATTGTCGGAGATAAGTGCTCTAGGTATGCCGAATCATGTTATGATGTTTTTCCATACAAAATGCTTGACATCAACATCTCGAATATGTGTTAATGCTTCTGCTTTGACCCACTTTGTAAAATAATCTGTTGCGACGATCAGGAATCGTTTGTTCTCTGGAGCCCGTGGTAATGGTCCTACGATATCAAGTCCCCATTGGGTGAACGGCCAAGGACTAGTAATAGATTTTAATTCTTCGGCAGATAGATGAGTTAAAGGGGAAACCTTTTGGTATTGTTTGCACTTTTTTACATAGTTTTCGGCATCTATTCACCTGGTTGGCCAATAATACCCCTGTGCTATGGCTCGGTGGGCCAATGAACATCCTTCAGAATGGGCGCCACAACTACCTTCGTGTATTTCAGCCAAGAGTTCATCAACTTTATCTGGGTGAACACATTCCAAGTACGGTCCAGAGAAAGATTTTTTTATAAAGCTTTCCCTGCAGATCCAGATAGTATCGCAAGGCTTTATTTTGCAGTTTATGGACTTTTTTCTTATTCGTTGGGAACCGTTCTCAAGAAAGGAATACAGCGATAGGGTCTATCCAACTTGGTCTTGGTTCAATGATGTTGGCTTGAACTAGTTCAGAAGAGGTGATGCTTGGCTCTAGGATGAACCCCACTTTGATTGTTCGTTTGACTTCTGAGTTAATAGCGGAGGCTAGGCAAGCAAAGGCATCCGCATGCATGTTCTGATCCTGGGTTATCTGATTCAATTCATGGTGGTTGAATTTCGTAAGTAAAGAATTTGCCGTTTTCATGTAGGCTGCCATGCGGTCATTTTTAGATGCATACTCCCCTTTCAACTAGTTGATGACTAATTTCGAGTCACAAAAAACAAACAACTATCGTGCACTAAGGTGAAGTGTGTTACGATGGCCGGTTATCAATGCTTCGTATTCAGCCTCGTTATTTGATGCATCAAAGCCCAATTTAACTGCCTACTCGATTATTGCCCCTTTGGGAGTCATGATTACTACGCCTACCCCACTGCCACGTTGGTTGGATGATCCTTCATAGTACATCTGCCAAATGTCTCCAACATATATTTGCCAGTTGGGTTTAGGTTGCATTTGATCGGACTTGAAGTTGGCATGGCATCCCGTGAACTCGGTTACAAAGTCGGTGAGCACTTGCCCTTTGATGGCAGTTCTAGGTAAAAACTAGATATCATATTAGCCGAGTTCCAAAGCCCATTTTGAGACTCGTCCTGATACTTCCGTGCTGCGGAGCACTGACCGGAGAGAATAGTCCGTTAATACCCTTATGGTGTGAGCTTGAAAATAGTGCATCAATTTTCTTGCAGCCACTACGAGAGCAAGGATGAGCTTCTCCAACGGTAGATATCGCGTTTTAGCGTCGACGATGGCCTTGCTTACATAGTAAATTGGTCACTGTTCCTCGAGTTCTTCCGTTAGTAGCATGGCGCTGACCACCCGATTAGATACCGCCAAATATAAGATGAACGGATCGCCTACTGATGGAGTTGCCAAGAGTGGTACTGATCGGAGATAAGTTTCAAGTCGTCCAGCGCAGCCTGGCACTCGAGAGTCCATTCAAATGCTTTGCCTTGCTGAAGTGTGTGAAAAAATTGTCGGCAACGATATGAGGAACGGCTGATAAACCTATTCAGGGTGATGGCCATCCTCATCAACTTCTGAACTTCTTTGATCGACCGAGGAGAGCTGAGTTCTAGAATTGCTTTGATTTGCCTCGGGTTGGCCTCTATTCCATGATGGTTGACAATATAGCCAAGAAACTTGCCGGATCCGATGCCGAATGCACATTTTGAGGCATTCAGTTTCATTTTGTACTTTCGAAGAATGCTGAAGGTCTCTACTAAATCGGCTAGATGGTCGTGTTTTTCCCTGGATTTCACCACCATGTCATCGATGTATACTTCCATGGTGCAGCTAAGTTGTTCCTTAAACATAGTGGTGACCAGTCTCTAGTAAGTTATCCTTGCATTCTTCAGTTGGAAGGGCATGACCTTCTAGGAATAGGTTTCCCTTGGGGTGAGGAATGTGGTCCTTTCTTGATCCTCCGGATGCATGAAAATTTGGTGATAACCCCTGTAGGCATCCAAGAAGCTCATGCACTAATGATGTGCCGTTGCATCCATAAGTTGATCGATTTTGGGAAGAGGAAAACAATCCTTTGGACAGGCCCTGTTCAAATCCGTGAAATCGACGCAAATGCGCCAAGATCCATTTTTCTTCTTTATAACCATGGTATTGGACAGCCATGTGGGATAAGTGACTTCATGAATTGCCCCAGCATCAAGCAATTTGTTGACTTCACCAACAACGGCCGATGCATGCTCAGCAGCTGACTGCCGACTTTTCTGAATGATTGGTTTGACTTTTGGATCGACGTTTAAACAATACTGGGCCATGATTGGATCCACCCTTGGCATCTCGCATGATGTCCATGTAAACACATCAAGGTTGCTGAGTAAGAAGGATACCAGCTCGCGTCTATCAACTTCGCTCAAAGAGGTGCCGATCATGAAGAATTTGTCAAGACTTCCATTGATTTCAATCTGATCAAGGTCTTTAGTTGTCTTTTCACTAGGGATTTTCCCAATGTCCTCGAGGCTCTCTTGATCCGGTACTTTAATCAAGTTTACTTCTTGTTCCTTTGGCCTCTTTATCGTAGCAATAAGATAGCAAGCCTGTGCCGATTTCTGAGAACCCCAAATTTGCTCGATGCCATACTCGGTTGGAAAGCGGAGTAGTGGATGGTAGATGCTCGGCACAGCCTGTATGGTATGCAACCAAGTCCTTCCTATGAAGAGATTGTATGGTGACGGGAGTTTAACGACCAGAAATTCTACGTCTATTGATCTGGTACTTGCCTGTATTGGTAATGTGATCTTACCCAAGGGATATTCAGGATTGCCGTTGAAACCAAATAATGGGTAATCGGCTGGCAACAAATTCAAATAAGTGAAGCCGAGTTTAACAAATATCTTGTAATACATTATTTTCGAGGTGCTTCCTTGATTGATGAGAACACGTTCAACTGTGAATCTGTTCACGCATAGCTCGACGACATGGGGATCGGCGTGGGGGAGAGTTACCCCATCTAGGTCGGTGTCATCGAAGCTAATCCTCCCAATTTCATGGGGCCGTTTGGCTGGTGTGGTCGGCTTGGGCAGGCTAGGTTGCAACTGAATTGTTTATACCTCAGCTGATGACAGTAGGCTGTATATCATGTAAATTACGCCAAGTAGAGGTGAATCCGGCCGTAGGGCTACTGTGTTCAATGGATTGTTCTTTCGGACGTGTTACGCCAGCCGGCCATCTTGTACCAACTCTTCCAGGTGGTCCTTCAGTGCATAATAGCTGTCGGTATCATGGCCGTGGTCTTTGTGATATTTGCACTACTTATCCCTTCTCTTTGTATTAGAAGGCCCTATCATTATGGACGGCCATTTAAAGAATGGAAGATGTTGGACTTTGGATAGGATCTTACTGATCGGCTCTGCCAATTCTGTATACTTCTTTTCTGAACATCTTGTGCACCTACTATCCACTTGATATTGTTTGTTTGATCAGTGCGAACACTGATTGCTTAAACGACGCGAATTACGCCTCTTGTCTCGTTTAGCTCAAGTCTGAGGTTTGAGGCTCTTTGATGGCACGACGCTTATCGGCTGAATGCGACTAGATGGAGCCAACTTAACAACTTTCTATCCGGCCTTGACCCGCAGGGCATCGTCTTCCACCTTACAATACTCTTCAACTTTCTTCATTAGTGCCCAAATTGTTTTGGGGGGCCGTCTAATCAATGAACTACGGAGAGGACTATCAGAATGTAATCCCATCTTAAAGGAGGTAATGGCCATGAAATCATTGCAGGCATTATCCACCAGGTTGAAACATTTCTAATAGCTCGCCGAATACTCATAGAGGGTCTCTTCTGGTTTAATTTGCATTGCCCAGAGAGAGTCGGCTTGCTTTGGCTGAACTTCGTTGCTAATGAATCTTGCCCTGAAAGATTTTTGGAGTTAATGAAAGCTTTTTATTGACGCCGGCTCCAGTTTATAGTACCATTTGACGACCAACGGTCCCAAGCTACTTAGAAACATTCGACACATGAGGGCTTCATCATCGGCATGCAACGTCATCGCTTGTTTATAATGGCGAATATGGTCAATGGGATTTGATTTTCCATCATATAGGGTGAATGTCGGTGCTTTAAACTTTTTAGGTAGCATAGCCCTTGCGGTGTGTCGTACGAAAGAGTCATGCCTGTTTTCTTCATCCGAATTATCACTTTATTTCCTTCACCTGTGCCGTACGTACGGACTTCCTTCGGATAAGCTGGAGACATCAACTCGTCCATTTTTTCTGGGTTCTTGGGATAGTGAGTCAGAATCACTGCCATTATCATGTTTCTGAAGTCGATGTCATCAATCATCTTTCTTTCTTGGGGATCGACCCTGGTCATGGCATGCGGCCTGCTGGGATTTGACTAGCTCGAGGACCAATTCCTGGCACAAGTGTTTGTTCTCAACCATCATATCTTCTAGACGCTGTTTATTTCGCTTTGCTTGATCTATGATTGTCTACATAGTCTCTTGCACAGAAGTTGAGGATGAGGTTTGAGCTACTGGGTCGAAGTTCAGGCCCGTCGTGCGGTGATATTCTCCGGTCCAAGTAAGTTTCTTGGAGTGATGTCATCTCTTGGCGTAACATTGTCAGCAACTACCGAAGGGTCATATGTTAGGCCCACCATGGATGCACTTTAGTATTCCCACAGACGGCGCCAATTGTGGTGAAGTGGTTTGGAAATACTCTAGAATCTAGTTAGTCGTCCTTGATCCTCTGATTGCTACTTGAAAAAAGGGATGAACACTCCGGTCGGGGGTTCCGGAATTAGCACTTCGACGGATAAGTCAATACTCTCTCTAATTACTTCTATCTCAAGTTATCTTCTATATTCACACATACCTCTCTTTGGCTGATCTTCTCCTTTTTATATTGCTCTCCTGCGGCCTACCATTTCATTATCATATCTAGGACCCCCAGGTACGTCAGAAATTATTCGGCATATTCAGCCCATGGGCTGGATTTTACTCAGCCTTGTTCTTGTTCAATAGGTTTGATCAGTGCTAAGTTATCCTTACCATCATTCTCGACACTCTGTTTGGACCTCTTGAACACGTAATTATTCAGCTCCTACATATATGAATATGTATATATATATGTATATGTATATGTATATATTTATGTATGTGAATGTGATTGTAGTTTTGTCATTTCTCTGATTTCAGTTTTAATTTGGTGTAGATCTGTCAGTTTCTGGTTGAATGTGAATTGTACATGTTAATTTCAGAACTGTGTTGCGTATAGTCGCAATTGAGACAAGGTTTTCTTGGAATTTTACTGAATTTAGGCCAATGTTCTTGATCTTGCAACAAATTTTCAGTCTGATATTGTCAATATAGATTTTGTGGTCTTTATACGTAATTTCTATACATCGCTCGAGGTATCTGTAATGACTCAGATTCTAATATGTGTCGGATTGGTGTAAAATGGTGCTCGTCACCTTAAAAATTTGTATGATTGTCGGACTCTTGGTATTGATGGGTTGGCAAGTGAACCTTAAATATTATAATTGAGGACACTTGGGTGATGTTTGGAACCTTGTTTGAAGTCTTAACAAGGTATTTAGGCAAGATTATATCAAAAGCCCTAAATTTGAGTTTACATTTTTGACTAACCTTCACTCTTTTGCCCTTTTCTCTTTCAATACTTTGAATTTGGATAAGGCTAGAACCATTGGAAAACTTATTTCTGGGGCTTCGATTCAGACACAAGAATGACCTAAAACAGAGTTTGGACGAGGGAGTTATGCCTGTTTGAATTTTGAGTTTTTGTGCTGGAAACAGGCTCGCTCGAGCAAACTACGTGAATTTTAGAGATTCTGGGAGCTTTTTCTCTACGCTCGAGCAACTAGGTCGCTAACAGACATTGTAAGTGACTTTTTGGCCCCAAAACTTTATTCTTTCTTCCTCTCTTCTCTTTCTCCCCTCCATGTCTAAAAACCTAGCCCTCAAAACTTTGTTTTCATCCATTTTTACCAACAATCCACCATGGATCTTGCATCAAGGATGAAGAACAAGAGAACATCAACATTTTCAACTGATTAGATTTTGGATTTTCGAAAGAATGCTCTTGATCTAGTATATTTGCTTCCAATCTTGAGGTAGGGATGCCTTTAACTTGTTATATTTTTTATTTGGGATACATATGTGATGATTTCATTAGATATACAAATAGTGAGTAGTTATATATATATTGTGAGGATATGGTTGTGTGAATGAGTATTTGGGTATATGTTGTAAATGTTTCATGATTATGAGAGAAGTTATGCTTATTATGAATGATTATCATTGTTTGTGATAAGTAATTGCCTGAATTTCATAAAGAAGGGAAAAATCCCAATTTTTCTCAAACCCTAGTTTTCCAAATTTTTATAAAAAGGGGTTTTGCTCAATTGTTTTCAAAAACATGAAATCGAGTGTAATTACTTGGTTTCGAGGTTGAGATTGTAAAACTTTAAGCTTTTATCTACATATTTCTGTTGAAAGGATGAAGTTTTGGTGTTAAATCCACTATTTTGGGCATGTGAAGTTGTGAAATTATTGTGAATGGAAATCATTGTAAGAAAAATGAAGTATTTATAAACTCATGCATCATATGCATTATTTTTTCTTTTAGTATTACCTTGGTGCCACAACTTGAAAGTTAAAAGGGGGTAAATAGTCTATGAGTCCTGGTAGTGAGTCGGGTTGGTTTTGAGTTGTGTATTGTAATTGGTACCCGTGCGGGGAGTCAAGGTGCCCAATTGCACTGTTTGTGCATATCACCAAACAAATGTAGGAAAATGTTTTTGGGTGTCCACGAGCCCGCCGTTTCTGGAGTCAGCAAATGTGAAAAAACGGATGATTTTGGGTGTCCACTCCCTACCGTTTATGGAGCCGGCAAATGTGCAAGGTTGAAATGTTTTTGGGTGCCCATCACCCCGCTGTTTCTGGAATCGGCAAATGTGGGACTATTTTCAGTATACAAAACTATATATATGTATAACTGTTTTGATTGTGGCTCTCACTTAAGATGTCATAGTATATTTACCGCCCATGGTTACTTTGAAAAATGTTGAACAAATGTCATGCATTGCATATTTCATTTGTATTTAAACAAATATTTATAATTAAACATTCAAACTTTCATCATACACGCATTGCATGATCATGTGTGTTTCAATTAATTATATAGCTTGTTAAATGCATTACCTACTGAGCTTTCGCTCATGCCAAAGCTAACAAATTTTTGGAAATAATGTTGAGGCACTTCCAAAAGGATGGATATATGAAATGAAGTTGGATGAGAGCATGGATGCTCTTCTATTGATGTTTTATGATTTGGCTTTGGATTATTTTGTATGGACTATTTGTATAGAGGAATTGGAAATTTATTTTGTATATGAATGTAATTTAACAATGATGTATTTTTGAGACAGTTCAATTGGAAATAGGAGTTAGTGGATGGTATTATTGTTAATATTTGTTATCTGTATGCATGGATTATTGTTGATTATATTAAAGTATCAGAGGAATTAAGAGGTATTTCTCCAAGGTGTTGTAGATTGGTATCAAAGCAATAGGTTTGAATACCTTAGGCTCATGGGAAGTGACGTTTGTCACGATAGATTTACTAGGCTAGGATGCGACGCTTGTGTGCTTTGAATGCTTTGTGTTTTATGTGGCCATGTGGGTATGGGATTATGCTTCTAGGATATGACTAGTGACCATTGCATTCATCGAAATCCTTTTGGAAAGGCATCTGATCAATTTTTTTTTCCACTTGGAGGTCCTTGAGCGCCATGGAATGAGTTGATATCTTAGGAGAATGATCCATATTAGCTCTATGTGCTTATATGCTTATGTGGTTTGTCTTACATAGATGTAGATACATGTATAGGCATATGTGTAACTCACGTATGGCGTGCGAGATCTCGTGTAGAATATTTAAGTGTGGGTTAGACCTTATCTCTAATCTCCTATGGGATCTAGGATGTGAGGGACCCCAAATGGGAAAAACTTCTGGGACTTAAATCTTTGGCACCATATTTATTGGTAAGATATATTGTCTTGGGATTACGTAAGGATGCAATTATGAGGTTGGTGTGGAACCTTGGTTTATCAATTTTGTAAGTTCAAAGAGAAACAAATGTAACCCTATGATGGTAAATTTTTTCTTATTGTATGGTGAATGGTTTGTGATTATGAAAAGTTGAAACTATTTCACAGACTCACATTGAAATTTTTGAAAAGAGGTTAGAAGGTAGATCTTGGAAGTGAGTGGTTATGGCACAGTGAGGATTGTGATGGGTGAATAGAGACTGATTGATTGAGAATTTGGCTAATTTGGAATCTAGTAGAGAATTTGTTTTAGAAGTGAGTTAAATGTAGAGTTTCGATGTGGATAGTAAGTGATAGAGGTTGTAATAATGGTGTTTAATCTCTAGTGGTTGAGATAGTGACTTGAGGATTGGTGAATTGTTATTAACGATTAAGATAAGAAGTGCTAGGATTGATTGCTCTCTAGAAATTGTGGTATAGTGCATGAGTAATTGGTCTCCTTGCTTGATTATTGGTGTGCTTGAGTAGAAAAGAGTATTGCTAATTGAGTGGTGTAGTTGTTATATCCGAGGTCGTGATGGCATAATAAATGTTCTTAGAAGAAGTTTTTGGAGTTAACTTGGGAGGTTATTACGGTTCAATAGAATGTGTGACTAAAGTCTATTAGAGTGATTGGTAAAGTCAGATCAGTGTGTCCTCATAAAAATTTGTGTCTGGTGGTTTGAAAAATCATTGATGTTAATTCTTCTATGGCTGCTTTTGACTATGAGCTAAAAGTTTTTTAATGGTTAAAGGTGTAAGTAAGTATTTTGATTGGGTTTAGAAGTGTTTGTGATGACATAGTTTCTAATATTGAGGTAAAGATAAACTTTGGTGCTGTATCTTATCTGTGAGGTTGGGTTATGTTAAGCTAGTCATTACTTGGGGTGCAAATGTGGAGATTTCCTCGAGTAAGAGTTATCTTAATTTTTTTAGGGAGCGTAAGCTTTTGACTTAGTTTTTCCATTATATTGTAAGCATAGAGGAGATTTTAGGTTGTTAATGGGTCTGTGTTGATTATAGTGTCATCATTATCATACTAAGAAGTGGGTTAGATGAGCTGGTGCCCATAGTGCACCTTTTAGGAGTTCTTATTGGGATATTAGAAGTTAGCGGTGTTGGAGTTTGGGAAGTACAAATGTAGTTGGCATGTTAGTGACTTGAGTTTCATTTTGTGGAAATTTATTCCTGGACTTTTGAGGGTAATTAATTTCATTTTGTGGTTGCTCTTAATCATAGGTCCTTGTTTTGAATTGGCAGC